CTGTTTGCAGGAAATGTCAGGGCTACCTTGAAACAAGCATCCATTCTCAGGAAGACACATTTTAACTCCACCTGAAGTTCATGACAAGCCTTGTTTTTGACATCATCATATCCCTTCGTGCTGTTTTATGATTCATGTTTCTTCTTGTTCATATCAAAACTCACACTGAGCAATGAGTTCTGGCTGCCTTTGTCCACCATTACACACACACACACACACACACACACACACACACACACACACAGTACTACCACTCTTCTGCCATCTTTGAAATGACAGAGAAATAAGTTATTAAGCCCTCCAAATTACTCATTATATTTATATTATATGTATTTCATTGTTCATCTTGTATTAAGTAGTTAGAACAACTATTTATAGATCTGGTATCCTCTAAGAGATTGTCCCAGACCAGACAGCAGGTAAAAGCATTGCTGTCAAGCCTGACAAGCTAAGTTTATTTCCCAGGACAGAAGGAGAATTGTCTCCTGCAAGTTGCCCTCTGATCTCCACATGCATGCCACAGCACTTGGACACATACACACACTAATAAAAATAAATATTTAAAAAAGCTTCCATTTTGGATAATCCCATTAAGATTTCAGGCAAGTCCACACAATCATTCCTTGAGCATAAACTCTCCTAATTAATCCTCAGGAGACTAAGCTACTCTGCACCCCTCCCATTACCACTCTCCCCAGTGTTGATTTTGGTCCTTGTTTTCCCCTACAGATGTATCTGTTAAATTGATTGAGAATTTGTATCCACATTTCATCACTAGCTAGTTTTTACAGAATTAAGTACACGTTCCAGTAGCTTCTCAAGTGTATTAAGAGTCGGTGTATGAATTTAATTGATTCAGGAGCTGGAGGCATGCGTCAGTGGTTAAGAGCTCTGGCTGCTCTTGCAGAGGACCCTGGTTCAATTCCCACGTAGTGGCTCACAACCATCTATAACTCCGGTCCCAGGAGATCTGATGTCCTCTTCTTGCCTTCACAAGCATTAGGCGTGCACGTGGTACATTCACATACATACACATAAAATACTCATACACATGAAATAAAAATAAATAAATTTTTAAAAAGAATATGAGAATTATATATGATTTGTTCTTTACTGAGGTTAAGTAACTAACAGACAAGGAGAATCTGTGCTCTTGGGACTTTGATTTAATAGCAGTTAAATGTTTAGCGTCACTGGAACTGAAACAAAACTGTGGATCTAACAAAACTCCATAAAAAGCATTATTTGCACACTGAGCTCAGGCTGTGCCTGGAACTGCTTCACAGTGTATAAGGCAACGGCCTTTCCAGTTGTGCATTGTCCTAGGAGACTCCATGGTACAAGCAACCTTTAGTTCCATTTTGAGAGAGTAGGATGACTACAACCCCTGGAAAGACCCAGAGACTTCTCCACCCACCTGGTTCAGACTGGTGGCTGACTTATTCCTGGGACTAGGAAGAGGGCAACCCTATAAGTTTATTGGAGAGAATTTGGAGGGTGGGGACACATGGATATATTACAATCATATCAGAGAACTGGTCCCAAGAACTTACCAGACACACCAGAAGAAGAAATGAGTTTCACACCCTTACCCGAGAAATAGATACCTAGTAGTGAGATAGCATGGCTTCACACCAACCACTGACCTGACTGACACCTGTGAACACCAGGAGCAGGGAACTCCCCAGCTCTCCCTGGAGTTTCCTATTGGTTTGGGTCTCTGACTCTGAAAAGGCCTACTTGACTCCCTGCCTATCCACCTGTTTACCCTCCTGGACCTGACCTGACCCACTGTTCCCCACTCCTGGAATGTTTCCTGCTGTGAGCAGGTTTGAGTATTGGCCTGAAGCTGAACTCTGCAACTTCTCCTTCAAACTTGACTCAGCAGCTTCAGCAGCAGCCCTTCCCAGCGCTGGTCTCGTTCCTTATCTTATCAATACAGACTCTCTGTCCACTTCTGAAATCCCTTGAACTCTCAGCCTCTTTACCCACAGATATGCATATAGATACACAGATATGTTTGTTGTGTGTTATGGTTATGTGATATGATAGTATTAATAATTAATATTGGAATTTTTTAAAGGATGAAAAGTGACTGGTTGATATTCATGGGAGGCCTGAACTTTTCTGAAGAGAAACAGAAAAGGAGGAGTAGATGCGGGGAGAGAAAAAGCTGGGGGGAGGAGCAAGGGAGAGGGAACTGGGATACACATGTAAAATAATAAATTAAATTTAAAAAAATGCTTTGACTCCAAAATTTAAGTTCAAGGACAAGTTACTGGGGAAAAGGATTTCTATTTTTGTTTCCACAGAAAATGAAAAGATGTGGATTCCTTCCAGACTAATGTGGTGTGATCACACCAGACCGCCTGAAACAGAGTACAAGGTGATCCTACATTCAAAACAGCTGGACAAAACAGCCTTACAGACTACAGCCAGGATTTCTGAATCTTCTTCGAATCCCCCATGACAGCGCCCCTTACCAGCAGGAAGTAGTTTGGAAAGAACAACGCCCAAATTCCCAAATATTGTGTATAAATGTTTGTTTTCATTTAATTGGACTTTGTTATATAAAATAAAATAAATTAATAATAAAAAAAGAATAGCTGTAAATTAAACTCCAGAGGATCTGATGCCCTCTCTGGCTTCCTTGGGCACTACTAGCCCAGATATGAAATTTACTCACACACACACACACACACACACACACACACACACACACACACACAAATAAAAATAAATCATTTTATAAAAAACCTACTTTGTTCTAAGTTTTCAACAGTTACTTTTTGTTACACCCACAAATTTTCCTTTGATTTTCAAGGGTAATCTTTTAAACAAACCTTGTAGTTCTTTTCAATTGAAATGTTGCCTGATTATGGATTATATAATGTAAAAAAAAAAAGAAAAGAAAAAGAAAAAGCTGGGGGGAAAGGACTTGGAGGAGAGGATAGGGGAGGAGAGGATAGTGGTTTGGATATAAAGCAAGATAATAATAATAATAATAATAATAGTAATAATAATAAAAAGGATGAACAAAACCAATATAAATATAATACATACTATATAAGAATATATGTATACAATACATGTACATATAATGTGATATTATATATATTCTCTTCAGACAGGATTTTACCACACAGCCCTGGTTGGCCTGGACCTCCCTATGCAAAAGAGGCTACCCTTGAATTCACATAGGTCTACCTGCCTCCATCTCCAAGTGCTGGGAGACGCCTCTGCCTCACTCCAATATTGCCTTCTGTCTCTAGTCTTCTGTCATTGTACATAAAAGTATAACAAATGCTCTAACATAGAAACAAACCAAGAGTCTTGGATAGGTGTACAATGGTCTCACTGGAGATACTGGGTTGCTTAGGCTTTACATTTGACCTCCATGAGATGCTAGAGAGATGGCTCATTGGTTAAGAACACTGGCTTCTCTTCCACAGGACCTGGGTTGGATTCCCAGCAACTACATGGTAGCTCAAAACTGTCTGTAACTCCAGTTCTAGGAGAACTGACACCCACACAGACATACACATTCAGGTAAACACCAATGCATATAAAGTAAAAATAATAAATAATCTTTAAAAGTCTATTCTGAATGCACTGCCAGCCTATAAAAAGGAATGTTCACTAGTGTGAAAACATTAGCTGCCAACAGCAGTTAGTTAGACAGTAGAAAGTGACACAATGTCTTTAAAATGAAGACAACACGTGTTTATTTTTAAAATGATATATGCTTATCTACATGTATATTAGCTTTCCTGATTTATTCAAATAGAAATCTTTGCACAAAGAATGGGTGAACCTGGAATTAAATGTACACTTTGTCTCCAAAATTAGCAATATTTCAACAACCAGTATATAGCCTTTTAAAATATTCACTTGTTAAAATAATATAACCAATCTATTTAAGTATATATAAGTAAGTTGATAAAATTTACTGTTATCTGTTTGAGCTATCATTCACATGAAATAAAAGTAAATTAAAAGAATGTCTTTTAATTTTACTATATATGTATATATTCATGCATATGTGTGTTTGTATGGAAGTGGATGTGCATATGTGAGTGCAGTACCAAGAGAGGCCAGAGGAGGTCATCAGTTCCTGTGGAGCTAGAGTTACAGATGGTTGTGAGCCACCTGATGTGGATGCTGGGAACCTAACTTGGATCTTCATAAAAGCAAAGTGTCTTTCTATTTTAAATTTAAGGAAAGCATACACTTTTCCTAAAATAATTCAAAACAGACAGATATTTAAACAAACAAGCAAACAAATAAAACAAATGAGAAGGGAAGTCTGTTTCTTTAAATGTACTCACTGGTGCTTGGGATGAAGCTCTGTGCTTGCCCAGCAAGCAAAATATCTTGGGTTCAATTTTCAGCACCACAACACATTTCTCATTAACAACTTTAACATGGTTTCATCTTGTAACATTGAATCCCACACAAGTTGCACAATTTTTATTGCTTTTAATTCTGGAAGAAGTGGGATTTACCTTGAGATTGAGTTCCTCAGCGAAGCACAGCTGATTAGGGTCCACCAGCATTTGACACAGTACGACTCTTACAAATGGAGATAAAGCTGAGCCAGCCCTAAATGTGATGATATACAACAACAGAGCCAGCCTAAGGAAGCCAGGAACAACCTGAGCTGCAGAGTAAGTCATTGTCTCACAAAACCAACATGAGACAGAAAAAAGGAACCATGAAATAAAGAATTCGATCAGTGACACCACTGTTGACATGAAGTTTTCGTGCTCGTGTATTTTCTTGGCTCTCTTATCCATATTTGATTGAGGCGACAGACGACATGTTGACTGGTAATTAACACATGCCCATATTTGCCCATAGAGGTGACAAATATGAAACAAACATGGTGTGGGGGGAGTTTGTCAAGATATGATTGTCTTCATCAGCAGTTCTGGTAAAGCTGAAATTGCTACTGCGAAACCTGTTAGGCAAATGAACACAGTGCTCAGCTCCTGAAGACCCTAGAATGTGATTCTTGTTTTGAATCTCTCTATCACTCTCCTCATGGCACTCTGAACTTCCTTGTTCCTCAGGCTGTAGATGAATGGGTTCATTACAGGACCGATGACTGCATAGAACACAGAGATCAGCTTGTCTCCCTCTGCTGAATAAAGGGACTTGGGCCTCAAGTACCTGATCAGCCCTGTTCCATAATAGATGGCCACCACAGCCAAGTGTGATGCACATGTTGAGAAGGCCTTTTTTCTGCCCTCGACTGAGTCTATTCTTATCACAGCTACGAGGATGCGAAGGTAGGAGAAAACAATCAGGAGGAAAGGGAAGAGCACTGTGCCAGCCCCTCCAATGGCCATCGTGGCCTCCAGCAAAGATGTGTCTGCACAGAACATATGCAGAAGAATAGGCAGTTCACAGAAAAGATAATCAACGATGTAAGGACCGCAGAGTGGAAGGATTGTGATGTAGAGAGGTATGACTGAGGCACAGAAGCCTATGACCCAGACGGCCACTGCCAGTGCTGTACACACTGCCCAGCTGATGATGAGAAGGTACCTCAGTGGATAGCAGATGGCCACGTAGCGATCTATGGCCATCACTGCAAGGAGAAAGCACTCAGTTGACTCTAAGAATAGGGTGAGGTAAGTCTGAGCCAGGCAGAATGGGTACGATATAACCTTCCTGCTTGCAAGAAAATTGAAGAGCATCTTCGGAGTCACAACTGTGCTGAAGAATCCATCGAGGAAAGCCAGGTGGCAGAGGAAGAAGTACATGGGTGTCTGCAGAGAGGCATCTAGAACCACTAGTGTGATGACAGCTGTGTTCCCCAAACAGTTCACCAGGTAGACCAGAGAGAAGAAGAGGAAGAGGGGAATCTCAGTTTGGGGGTGATCAGAAAACCCCACCAGGACCAGCTCAGTGATGGGGCTGGAATTCTGGGGTCTCATGCCTGCTACTGAGCCATACCTGTTCAAATGAGAAGAAACCAGAGGACCCCACATGAAAACTCTTGGGTCACATCAGTCCTCTTCACATTTGCTTTAATACTGAAGGTAATGTGGGTCCTAAATTTAAATGATGGTGTCTGTGTGAGACCCTTTCAGACACAAATTCAACCCATCACTCCCCTAACTATGAGTGACCATTTTGGGGAAATTACACAAGATCTTGTAGTTCCACAGAGATAGTTTTACCATTGCTACATCATATCATACAGACTACAGGGCACTCCTTTGTCAGTTTTAAGTATCTGACTCTTAAAAGCCACCAGTGACTTCAGTAAGATGAAGCAACTTATCTGACATCACGAGTAAAAATGTGAATGTTGAAAATAATTGCATTCCCCTTCACCTAAGCTGGTAATTGATACCACAGAGTTCATGTAGCCAAACAAAGAATCCAACAATTACAGTCCCTACAGGAAATAGACTATAGGTTTATACAGCTGAACTGCTACAGTAGTATTTAAACTGCTTAACCAGATCAGTATTAGGAAAAAAACAATACAGTTAAGTAACAAACACACACTTCTGGCTTTCAGATTTTTAGTCTTGGTTTCAGAAAATATTGTTGTTTCAAAGCAAGAACTTTCTTGTTACTTTTAACTTAGCATACAGTGTAATGTTTCATCAGACATTTTCATATACACTTTGCTCTTATTCATCCTCCTTGCTCACTCCACATCCCTCTCATTCCTATCTGGCTGGTCTCCCTCCTCACCACATAGTTCTCCTTCTGGCCACTCCATTACCTTTATGAATCCTATTACCCTCTCTTCTGCTCTCACTGCATGAAGATCTCTTATCCTCCTGTCATGGTCCATGATCACCTTTCTAGTTTCATGAGTACATCTGTATACTATATACAAATTTAAATCAAAGGTCTGCATATGAAAGAAAGCATATAGTGTTTATCGTTAAGAATATCAATGTCAAAATATTCTCATTATATTAAGCACATTGCAAAATAGTCTTTGCAAGGTCATGCTTCCTAAATGCACACTTAGAAGTATACACTTGTTCAAGAAATTATGAATTAAATTTTTGAATGTGCTGAAATGGCAGGTCTAAGCTGGTTCAATAACACAGGAGCAATAACACAACACAGGAGCAAATACTAGCTTTTGTTGTCATAGCAACACAACAATTAAAAAATTATGAGTTTGAGGATATTTCCTGCATAGAAAGCCCAGTCTTCACACAGCTACATCCCTCCTACCTCAACATGGATCTTGTCTCCACTCACACACCACTGATAGTGTTTCTTCTTTGTCTTGCTAGAGTTCTCTGTTTTCTTACTTCCTTGCTTAGATTCACATAAAATGCTTCATGGGAGGGAGGGAGGAAGGGAGGGAGGGAGAGAGAGAGAGAGAGAGAGAGAGAGAGAGAGAGAGAGAGAGAGAATGCTCTCTGAATGAGGAAGGAAGTGAGTTTGGCAGAGAAAGGCAGTTGACATACTTGCCTAGCTCCCTGATGCTGAGAAAGCCAGCCACAAGTCTGTGCTCAATATTTCTGAAAAAGACCAGTTTCTTGGCTCTGTCTATAAGGAAAGCAGCATCAGGACCACAACCACCTGCCAGCATGAGAGCGCATGTGTGACATATCCAGAGACTCCCTTCTGTACTGTGTGCTGCTGAACTGTGGTCACAAATGCAGATCTTGTTCCCAAGCTCCCATGACTTTATCACGATAGGCATCCACATCCTCTTTATTCCTGTTCACACTCATCTCAACTTTACGTTTATCAGGATCTTCCTGAAATGAAATAAATAAAGTTGGTGTCTAGACATAAATCCAGTCTGGAGACTACTGAGTTTTGTAAAACCCATTAACAAAGAAAAGTTTTAGGTCGATCCCCAAGGGAACCAGTTACTTTTTGCAAGAAAAATAAGAAGCAAATTAATTATTTTTCCACTTACTGTCAGTGTCAAATGCGACTTATAATTACAATTAATACAGCTTACATCATTAATGCAACTTATAATTTCTCATTAGTGGTGACATAATGAAACTGCATTTCTTCTCCTAGAAAAACATCTCAACTTGGAAGTTTGTAAGGAGTACTGGTTTTTTCTGCCCGCCACCACTGGTCTTGTCCCACCGCCGCGCCAGCCCCAAATAACACACAGAGACTCTGTATTTGATATTATGCTGTTGGCCAGGTGCTAGTTTCTTATCAGCTAGCTCTGTCTTAATTATTAACCCATTTCTATGTATTTCCACGTGGTCTTACCAGCGAGAGGCGGCTGGTGGTTCTAGTCTCTCCAGACTCTCCATGTTGACTCCTCCTTCCTATTCCATGTTGACTACTTCCTATTTCCTCCTTGTCTCTCCTATCGTCCTTTCCTATTGGCCAACAGTGCTTTATTATTAACCAGTATGAGAAACATATACAGAATGACATCTCCCATCAGAAGTTTAAGTGTAAAACATGCTGTTTTTCTTATTTTATATTTTAATTTTTTATTATAGTTATTTAGTTGCATGTATTGCAGGGAATCTGCAGATTTCACCGTTATCAGTGTAGACATGGATGCATGCATGGTGCTGCCCTCTTTCTCCTCCCTCCTTCCCTTTGTCTCTCTGGTTCCCTTTCATTTACTTAACAGTTTATCTTCTATTTTCAATGATTCCACATATGAGAAGAGACACACAATGCTTTTCTGTCTATGTCTAGCTCATTTCACTCAAGGTGACAATTTCAATTACATCGAAGTTTCTAAATATGATAAGATTTGACTCTTTATGACTGAATGCACCATAGAATATATATACCACAAGTCGTTATCTATTCACTTGTTGATAGGCATGTATCCTGGTTCCAAATATCTATTTGAGTAGTGCTATAACAAACATGGATGGTGCACCTCCATCCCTGCAGGTATGTCTCAGGAGAGCTACAGATGGATCACATGGCAGTTCTATTTTCAGTGTTTAGAGGAATGTCTCATTGTACTAGTTCCTTCTACCTCATAGGTTCTTACATTTTGTCACTTCTCATATTTAAGGGTGCTTGAGAGTGGTAGTCTCTCATTGTTCATTATTTTCTTCCTTTAATTTTTTTATTTATTTAATATTTCATATTTACTTCGTGTGTGTGTGTGTGTGTGTGTGTGTGTGTGTGTGTGTGTGTGTGTGTGTGTGTGTGTTGTATATGAGTGCCTGTGGACCACAGAGGAAGGCGAAGGCATCAGATCCTCAGGAACTGGAGTTACAGGTGGTTGTGACCTGCCTAACATGGGTGCTAGAAACCAAACTAGGATATTTTGGAAGAGCAGGAGTGTCTTAGAAACCAAACCATCTTTTCAGCCCTCTCTTTCTTTATTGATGTTCGACTATACTATTTCCTGACCTTTCCCTCTGTCCTTGATACTCCTTCTTCTGCTTGGTCTCAGCTACTCATTGTAGTAAGATATTCACCTTGTCCGCACCTGTGGCATAGACCACGCCCATTGGGGGTGGAGACAGGGCAGGATGAGACCTGGGGGAACTAAGGCTGAGGAGCGGACTCACCACTCACATGTTCTGTAAGTAGTTGATGGTGGAGCTCGAACACAACCACAAATGGTAGGTACCAAGCAATCTGCACTGTTGAAGTAACTGCTGAGCTAAAGCCAGCAGTTATGCCCACTATGTTTTATTTAACTCATTGAGCCTTCTGACATTTCTATTTATTTAATTTTTCCATATCTCCATTTTCTTGCTCAATTTCTGATCATGGTGCTGACATCTTTATTCATGATGCTGACTTAATCACACATGTTTCTGTCTTCATCATCCATGGTTCTGCCTTCATCACCCATGGTTCTGCTTTTATCATCCATGGTTCTGATTTCATCATCAATGGTACTGCCTTCACCATTCATGGTTCTGCCTTCATCATCCCTGGTGCTGACTTCATCATCAATGGTGCTGTCCTCATCATCCATATTTCTGCCTTCATCCATGATTCTGACTTCATCATCAATGGTGCTCACTTTGCCATCCTTGGTGCTGACTTCATCCATTCTATTGACTTTATCATCAATGGTGATGAGTTCATCCATAATGTTAACATCTTCATCCACAGTGCTGACTTCTTCATTTGTGGTTCTAATATCATCATTGATGATGATAACGTCTTGGTACATTATACTGACTTCTTCATTTATATTGCTGACATTTTCATGCATTATAACTTTCTTCTTTTTTATTTTTAATTTTACATGTTGAACCCAGTTCCCTCTCCCTCCCTCTCTCTCTCCCTCCCTCCCTCTGTCCCTCCCTCTTACCTTCTCTGCCCCTTCACATGCACCCTGACCACCCTCCCCTTCTATCCCCCACCCCAATTCCACATGTAGGGCAATGCCATCCAGGTGGGGTCATGCAGATCTGTCAAGTCATTTGAAGTAGGGACTAGGACTTCTGTCCCTAGGTTAAGGCAGTACCTCTCCATGGGGGATGTGTTCACAAGGTCATTTGTGCACCAGGAATACATCCTGGTTCCACTGTCTGAGGTCCCTTAGACTGCTCAGTCCTTCTGGCTGAGATCCATATTCAGGGGGGCCTGAGTCAGTCCCATGCTGGATTCCCAGCTATCAGTCTGGGGGCCTGTTAGCTCCTCCCTGTTCAGGTCAGCTGTCTCTATGTGTTTCTGCAATCTGGTCTTGTCCTTTCTGTCTGCATCTGGATTCTAGTTTGACTCAGTGTTTAGGTATGGGTGTTTGTTCCTGTTTCCAACAGGTACTAGATGAGAGCTCCATGATGGTGGATAAGTTGGTTGTTGATCTCACTATCTAGGAAGGGCATTTATGGTAGCCTTTCCACAGTTGTTCAAATTGTTAGTTGGCGGCAATCTTATAGGTCTCTAGACCTTTCTTTAGGTTCAGCTTTCTCTTCAAACCAATATTCTCTCTCTCTCTCTCTCTCTCTCTCTCTCTCTCTCTCTCTCTCTCTCTCTTTCTTCTGTCTTCCATTCCTACCCTGACTCAATCTTCCTGGTCGCACGTGCTTTCCTCTCCTTC